GCTCTGGGCGACGCGGCTGCGGGTGGTTGTGAACAGCAGAGGGATGAGGCTGAGATGCGGGTCTAAACGTTCCCCAAACGCCCAGAGGAGGAGCCGCCTCCAGGAGAGAGGGCGGGAGGAGGGGCTGTGAACACAGCGACCCAGCAGGAGGCGCCCTGAGGACCAGCCCTGAGGGAGGCGGCATCTCCGAGGCGCTGGACCTCGGGCCTGAGCCCCTGGGTCCTGGGGTGGGTGCCAGGGCCTCAGCAGACCTTTAGTTCTGCAGGTGAGAGCCGCTGAGGGGACTGGGCTGTGGGGCTATGTCAGGGCCTCACACTATCGTGGCCTCTGAGATAGTGGGGTCCTGGGGCTGTCCAGCCCCTCTTCTCGGGGGACCTTGGACCTGGGGACCTTGAAGAGACACCGAGCCCAGAACCCTAAGTCCAGGTCAAGGGTCATATGAGTGGCACCTGATTTTGGCAGCCAGTGGAATTGTGTGTGACAGGTCCTTCCATGTATGGGTTCCAGAATGTTCAAAGGCTTGGAGTGAAGACTAAGCTGATTCAGGGACGAGCAGGGGCCCATTTTTTAAAAAGTAAGAACTGGAAACAGGGACAGGAATCAAGTCCAGAGGAGCTCTGTGACCACTTGGATTTCTGTTCTGCTTGTAATGGGGTCATTGGGGTAATTGGAGCAGTAGAGCAGGTGATCTGACCCAGGTCTCATTAGACTCCCTGTGACTGCAGCACGATGCACAATATGGGTGTGAGGACGGTGGTAGAAAGCCGAGGATGGAAGCTGCTGTGATAGTGTTGGTGAGCGTGATGGTAACTGGAGCACAATGCTGGTTGTGGGTGTGGAAGAAGCAGTTTCATTATGGGTCAGGGTTTTAGGTGTGGCCACGAGGATTTTCTAATTTTGAGGATTGGAGAGAGAGGTAAGAGAGGGGTAAAGGTTTGGATTTAGTACCTCATGGTATGAAAGTACCATCAACTGAGATGGAGAAATTCATAGTGGGAAAAGTAATATTCATGAAGAACATAAAATCTTTTATTTTTTGCATTTTACGGTATGAGATAGTTCAGAGGCCAGTTCATGACCATCTGGAACTCTGAGAAGTAGTTCAAGATGAAGACTACCTAAAAAATAGTAAAAGAGTATGGACCAGGGAGGAGTTATAGATCACCTTTTTCTTTTTATTGGAGGTGGACGAGTAATTCAAAAAAGGTGAGACGTGGCTGTTGCATATTTGCTTCTTTTATTAATTGATTTCAGAGAGGAAGGGAGAGAGAGAGAGAGAGATAGAAACATCAATAATGAGAGAGAATCACCAAAGAGCTGCCTCCTGCACAACCCCCCCCCCCCCCACTAGGGGATCAAGCCCACAACCCGGAGATGTGCCCCCTGGCCGGAACCGAACCTGCAACCCTTTAGTCTGCAGGCCAATGCTCTATCCACAGAGCCAAACAGCCAGGGCTATATTTACTTCTTAAACACTCACCAGAATTTCTTGTGATCTTTCTGTGACTTGGTGTGTTGCATCCAGTTTGGTAGATTTGCTTCTGGGCAGGAGTGGGCATCTGTGAGACTCACTGGGCATGGGGTAGAGGAACATAGGCAGTGGGACTTGATTACTGAAGGCTGTGAGTGGAGAAGGGACATCAAGTGCAGCACCAGTAGAGTTGGGCTCTGAATAACTGAGATCTGGTGTGGTTCTCAATAGGTGAGGCTGAAGGAAAAAACAATTTGGGAGGGAGGCCTTGATAGCAGAACTGAAGGCTGTGTCTTGGGTGTGGGCATTCAGAGTCAGGGTAGTACTTGGTACTGTTTCAACTTGCCATGCATTCTCTGGAACACACATGGTGAGTAATGACTAAGACGAAGGAGATGTCTATGGGAGCTGGGGCTACGGGAGTGCAGGTGTGAGAGAGGTGTGGGAGAAGGAGTGATGTGCTCTTGGAGAGGGAGTGTGAATTCCTGGCCACAGATCCCTGATGTTGACATAAGAGGGAACGAAGTTTGAGTCCATTTCTGGTGATAACTGGATGATACAACATGGGAAGTATTAGGGTAATTCCTGAAAAGACGGGTGATGTGGTGCTACATGCCAGGCCCAGAATTTAGGTGTCATATAGGTGCACACCTACCTGTTGTTGTGGGGCTGATACAGTGATCAATAGGAATGTGATAGCATACATCATTGTCACCTGGGCTTGAAAATTTCTGCTGGATTTTGGAAGAGAGAAGGTTAAGAGAGAAATACAGAGGTGGTGAGTTAGAATTTTGAGAAAAGGTGATTAGAAAACAACCCCTCCTCTACATAGCTTATATGTGTTGTCTTCAAAGTTGTGACTCTGGGAATGAAGCTGTATGAGAGAAGTGGGCTAGGAAGAATTATGTGGCACAGGTAGCAAAAGTGTTATCCTCAGCACCCTAGGATTGGAATGGAAAGGGTGACCAGTGATGCCATGTTTTTTGGGGTCTTGGAGGGTGAATCTGTGGGACAGAAAGGATATTGCTACACAAGACCAGTGTCAAAACATTCACATCTCTCTTTACAGCCAACATTTATCTGTAGCTGTTATGGTGACACCCATTGTGTTGACCCTAACTATGAGGCCCCGAGGTCAGGTATAATCAGTCCAGGTGCCTGCCTTTATTGCTGTGGGAAGACACAGTATCAGGAAAAGGAGTGACTTCGGTTGATGCAATGTTTGCTGTTATCTGTGATGTAGGAGTAGGGGGAGCAGATGGATATGGAGAGTGTGCAGTATGACAAAAGTAAAAGCCTAGGACAGAAGCTGATCATGGACTGAACTGTCTCCATTACGAGAGGTTATGAACTTTGAGGACGTGGCCATTGCCTTCTCTCAGGAGGAGTGGGGGCTCCTTGATGAGGCTCAGAGACTTCTGTACTGCGATGTGATGCTGGAAGTTTTTGTACTCATCTCATCTGTAGATGATATCTTCACATTGTCCCAGTGTCATGAGGTGATGTCCTTTCTTCCTTTATTCTCAAAATATAGATTTCTCTCTCCCACAGCCAGACCATGGGTTCTGCTAATTTCCGCCACTGTCTTGTCAAATGTGCTGTGGCTGCTGGTGCTGAGCTGTGTGGAGAGCCCTGACCAATAGACTCCATGAACATCCCTAACACCCATTGCCTCAAAAAGAGCAGAAAGTGTCTGGGAATCAGGACTCTTACAGGCAGCTTAATGGATCCCATCTTCCTCTTCCTCTCCCTGGGAGGATGACAATATGGACATTTATTCCCTTCTTCCCCCTTCCTCTAGGGAAAGATGCTTTATGACAGCCTGTGCCAGGTTTTGTTTTTCACTTACATGAATCATGGGAAATTCTAATAAGACCCTTCTTCAGTTGTTGTTTGTAATATTACGTTAACTGAGTTCTATTGCATGCCAAAATGTTCTGGGGCAGAGCTGGCTGCTCTCTGTTGTCTTCCATTAATACTTGGAATATTTAAGATTTATGCATTGGTAGAGTAGAAGATCAGGGAGAAACCTGATTTCCTCACAGGGTGCACATGCAAGATGGTCTCAGATGAGGTCTGGCCATGCTGGGTTGAAACTGGAGGAAGTTTTGAAATAATTGTGGTGGTCAGATGATACCCAGAACCAGCTAATTTCCAACACGTTTAAGAGAAAGTGCCATGGCTACACACCATTTCTACCTTCTCTTTCCCATAGTTGACACTTTGCTGACTTGCATTTCATCTGTGACCTACTGGTTTGGCTACCTTCACCTTTGTCACCTTTTTTGCATCACCTGTCCCTCTGCACTGCTCCCTCTGCAATATTCTGCTACATAGACCTGCACATGTGTTATGAGGTGCACATGCATGCTTAAGTAGAACTTGAACCCCTGCTACTTGTTTATTGAATTTTACTTGGAATAAGACATAACCAACCTTCTGCACAGCTTGCCCCTGTCATCATTAGACCAGCCCTGCTGAGCACTCTTACCAGAGGACTGAGTTGGAAATGCATTTTCTCTTCCATGTGGTTTTTGCCATGTGTGTGTCATGATTCTGGTGAGGTATTCCCTGTTTTGTTATTTCTTCCTGCATATCATTTATTTTCAGACAGTTGCATGGAACCCATGTATTATGTGCAAAACACTTTAGCAATGGGACTTCCCCTCTCACCACTGTCAACATTCAGTTCCTCCTCAATTTTCTCTTTTCAATTTGTTGGCATAAAACAGATGATAAGGAGGTCTGTCCTAAGCAGAGCATATCTGTACAAGGAGAGTCACAGGTCAGGGCTTCTGATACAGCTCCTGCAACTCAGAGGACCCATCTGTGTAAGTGGTGTGTCTCAGTGTTCAAAGATACTCTGCACTTGACTGAGTCACAGGCAGCATACTTTGAGCAGAAAGCCTTCTTCATTGATGCATGTGTGAGAGATTTCTGTTTCAATGCAAATCCTCACAGCAAAAGAGGAATTCCAGTAGAGAGAAGCTCTTGAAAGAAGGCATGGACAGGGCCTTGTTTGTGACCAGGTGCAGCTTCTACTTACCTTGGGTGCCTTCAAGCAGGAGGGAGGTTGGGAAAGACTTCCCAGCCATGTCAGGGCTTCTCCAGCACCAGGCCCCTCTCAACACTGAGGAGCCACACAGTGGCAGTGAGATTTCCCAGGAATATCTTGGTGGAAAGTCTTCACCATGCTTGTAACTGTGAAAGATTTGGCAGCCAAAACCAGAAAGTTGTTCAGCATCAGGATGCCTCCTCTGGAGAAGTGAAATATGAATGTGACAAATGTGGTAAAGTTTTTAGAGGAATTTTTCACCTCATTCAACATGGAAGAACTCACACTAGAGAAAAGCCCTATGAGTTTAATGATTGTGGGAAATCTTTTAGGAGCAACAATATACTTTTTAACCACAAGAGAGTTCACACTGGAGAAAAGTCCTATCAGTGTAGTGATTGTGGAAAATCCTTCAGGCAAAGGTCTCAACTCACTGGACACCACAGTGTTCACACTGGAGGAAAACCCTATGAGTGATTGTGGGAAATCTTTTAGGAGAAATAATCAGCTCCTTAACCACAAGAGAGTTCACACTGGAGAAAAGCCATATGAGTGTACTGATTGTGGGAAGTCCTTCAGCAGAAGCTGTTACCTGTCTCATCACAAGAAAATGCACATTGGTGAAAAACCTTTTGAATGTAGTGAATGTGGGAAGTTCTTTAGAAAAAAGCCAACCCTCATTCAACACCACAGAGTTCATACTGGAGAAAAGCCGTATGAATGTAGTGATTGTGGAAAGTCCTTTAGACAAAGACATTCGCTAATGGAGCACCACAGAAGTCACACTGGGGAAAAGCCATCTGAATGTAGTAAATGTGGGAAATGTTTTAGCAGAAAACCTAGCCTTGTTAGACATCTGAGCATTCACATTGGAGAGAAGCCTTAAATGTTCAGGGGATGTTTTATCTTTCTCACTCTACAACACTGAAGGAAACATAAATGCATTTACCTGAATATAAACCCCGTTTATGTGAACATATACTGTGCGAAAATTCTTATAAGTTTGAGGTACAAGTGAGGCTTGAAGGAGCTGCATTGAACTTGCTAATTTCTGAAGACTCCTACCTCATTGATGTCACTGTGAGTATTTGTGGCTGAAGTGACCTCCTCTACCATCTGGATCATCTGAACAGTGTGTATCAGTCACAACCCCTGCCTGCTCAGGGAAAATGAATTCTGTGTTCTCACTTGTGCTTAAGTGAATTATGAATACTGTGAGCTCTTGGCAGGATCCTAATTCCTTTCTCTCTGGCTAGGAAATGGACCTGACCTGGGGTTCATCCAGAGCCCCCATTCTCAGCTAAGAAGTGCTACCTCTTTCAGGGACATTGTGGTTCTCATCTTATGCTGTGATGAATTGTTGCAAACTGATTGCTGTACACTGCTCTGGTATATGATGTTTTTGTAATTGTGATTTTGCTTTTGTACCTTTAATTTTGTTGGTTCTCTTCACTGTCTGTGTTCATTTGAAAGGACAATTGTGATCTGTCAGCATGTAGAGTTAACATATATTGTGGGGATGTCAAACATTCTTTGCCTCAGAAAGGATAGCTTAATGACAGAAACTCCTTCTTTGTCCAGTTTTCTTTGCAATACTGTCCAAGGCCTTAAAATAAAGACCATATGACTTTGTGGTTGTATTTTGCAGGTTTGATCCCCAGCCCACCATTTCGGCTGGTGTGGGAGGCATCCAGTCATTGTGTTTCTCTCTCTCTCATCCCCTTCCCACTCTCTCTAAAAAAAGAAAATAAACAAAAAAAATCCACCCTTCTTCACTAAGATGGGCCTCTGCCTGCACAGCCCACCTTCCCTTATTGTTTCCTGCCTTTGCCTGGGATGTTCCCAGGAGCTGGCAGAGAAGAGCCCAAGGCAGGTCCCTGGAGGGGATTGGGGTTCTGTATTTGCCTGAGAGGAGCTGGCAAGGACTCTTCTGTCTCCATCCAGAAGTTTCTTCAGCTTGATGTCCCCATCCCCAGGCCCCTGGATATTATTTATCTGGGAGAATCCCCCTGATGCTTGAACCCAAAATCAGTTCATATTAGGAAAAGTCTGCCTATAGCAAGACCTCATAAACCCATTGGTGTACTTTGAGTCTATTTTTGCATCTTGGGGGTAATTTTTTACTTTGATTTTATTAAATACCAGAGGCCCGGTGCACGAAATTCGTGCACAGGAGCAGGGAGTTCCTCAGCCTGGCCTGCACCCTCTCCAATCCGGGACCCCTCAGGGCTGCTGGCACCTAACTGCTCACCTGCCTGCTGGCCTGATCCCCCTAACTGCTCTCCCCTGCTGGCCTGATTCCTCTAACTGCTCTCCCCTGATGGTCTGATACCCTTAACTGCTCTCCCCTGCCGTCCTCATCCTCTTAACTGCTCTCCCCTGTCTGCCTGATTACCTCTAACCGCCTCTGCCTCAGCCATGGTTTTGTCTGGAAGGACGTCCGGAAGATCGTCTGGAAGATGTTCAGTCTAATTAGCATATTACCTTTTTATTAGTATAGATGCCACCTTGCCTAAAAATGCAGATTGTTAACAGGTTTTCCTATCATGGAAGGAGAGCCCGCAGTAGCATCCTGGGTTCTGACCAGGGCTTATGCACTCGTGCTTTATCTCAGCAGATGAGATTCCTAGAAGACTCTTGGATGTACCTTGAACATTTCTATCGATTTTGCCAAATCATCCTCCAAAAATGTTGAACCACTTTAAACTCCCACCAGCAACTATGCATGTGCCCTCTGTCCTACTTTGATGCCAGTATCATTGATTTCCCCCTAGAAGCTTCCCTCCCTTCAGCCGGGACTGCTTGGCACTTGAGCCAAACTCACTGTTCAGCCCAGGACTTGATTTCCTGAGATAGAATTATGGAGGAGGAAAAATAGTTTTCCTCTGCCCTTCTGAGTTCTTAGCGGAGGCC